ATTTGGGGGCCATATCATTCACATATTTTTTTAAATTTAAATTATGAGCTTAAGACTATCCTCATTTTTTATTATTATTGCTTGACTAAATTCATCTTTGCATACGTAATTTTTTCTATTCCTAATCCATATGAAGCGATATTTCATTTCATTGGATTTTATGCGGCATGAAGGGATTTATTTCCTGGAGTTAAATGTTCTGAAACATATATTGGGACTCTAGATCCTCCAATTCCTAGATGGTGAGAGTTTAGTTTATCTTCAGGAGTTTTCTTGTTAAATAAAGCTACAGCCGCTAGGAGAGCATCTCTGTGTTTCATAGTAGGTACGAAGCTTAACAATGACAAAACGTGGCTTGTTGGCATTTTTATTCAGCTTAGCTACTCGAGTAACATATTGGATGTCATCAACTGACAGCGAATTTTTAACAGCTTGTCCTAACTGCACGATAGTGTTTGCCAAATTTTCCGCTTTATGTTCGGGAATACCATTTACTTCGATGTTGCATTCTCTCATATGTTGTTGAGTATGATATGAAGTTGAGTGTTTTCTTTTTTTAAGTTGTTTATAATAGCGGATTTTTCTTCAATTACAGTTTTCATCTCTTCGAATATATTCGACATAGATTCACAAAATCCCGCTATTTGTTCATTAATTGTATTAAGCTGTGCCGTAACAAGTTTTTGAATGGTTGTAGAAAGTTCTTGTTTAATAATATCACGAAGAGTATTTTCTGTCAAGAAGTTATTACCATCCTTGCTTTTCATCGATGCTGGGGCTGGTGACTCGCTGTGCTTTTTACGTAAAGTGACGAATGGCTCAGAAGAGTATTCATCAGTAGCTTTGTCGCATGTTTGGCTAGTGACAGCTGACCTAATAGGTGTGTGAGTGTTACCAGTTTTTGGTTGCTTACTGCAACATTCCGGGCATTTCCAATTATTCCTCTTTTGCTGGTCCATTTGATCAAAGTATCTGATAGGTATGTTTGCGCATTCGCAGTCATACTTCAATTTACAAATCAAGCAACTAAGAAATTCTTTTTTGGGTAAAGTATTTTTGCATCCGGCGCAAATTTTAGAATTCGTAGCAGACGCCATTACTGTTACAACTTAATAACTTAATTTGAAATTTGAGAAATGACAAAAAACTTTCCGGCGTTGGGAATCGATCGCACGTTGCTCGATTTTGGACGTCGTTATACCATCTGCGCCACGGTAATGTTGGTACACTTAGCGAAAATATCAATCTATTTAGTGTATAGCAACAAGTTATTAACAGTCTGTCGGTAGTACATAAACAAAAGTTATCAATAGGTCGTGAGTAATCACAAATTATTTTATTTCAAAAAGGCTCACTGGATTAACTTTTAAAGTTAGTTTTTTAATTAGAAACACTGATAATACACCATTAACTTGTATTACACAATATGAAATATATATTACACTTTGAAATATTTGGTAAAGTTAACATTCGATGTTACTGCGTTAACACCAGATCATCTTCAGAATTACGTTAGAAGTTCTAATCCTGCAAGGTTCTAACTTAGAAACTTGCAGGATAATAACGACGCAGAATTATTGTAGTTTAAAAAATGTTTCTGTATTACTTTTGGTAGCTATTTCGAACTTTTAGAATTAAGAAATAAATTTTTAACACAGATATGTTACACGACACGTTTGACGTTCGTATACTAATGGTAATTGGTTTATTAATTCCGAGAGATCTGAGGAATTTCCACAGATCAGTGGGCGAAAATTAGGTCTTTTGTCATGAATGTAGCGGCGTTTAGCATTTCGTACCACCCGGTTGCATCTGTTTCTTAGCATTTTAATGTTAGACCAATCTGAATCAAAATACAGATGCGTTGTCACCTCTGGGGACTAAAATAGAATGCCTCTTTTTCAGTAAAAAGGTTCTCCGCTCCTCTACACTCACCATATGAAAAACACAGCAGTGTTACGCTGTTATTTTAAGCTGGTATTCTGTGAGAGCGTGGTATTTCCTCGGTCGAGCCGACCCAAAAATCTTGTAGGACAATGCCTAAAATGGTACTACTGGATCTATTGGACTGTTGTACGACAAATAATAAGCACATGAATGCTTTTGTAGCTACTGTCACTGCTTAATGCTAAGTGTTATCGAAATTGTTACGAACTCGATACTCCAAAATAAATGTCGAACATCGATATATCACGATTATAATATCGATATATCGATATTTTTTGCCATGCCTATTATCGTATAGTGGTAGTTTCCATTTCCATGGGTAGACAGAGAATGCTAGGATTCTCTGTCTACGTTTCCAGGTATAGTGCGCGCAAGATAACTCTGCGCGCGACTGATGGCGTGCTTAATGTTGCCAGCTTAACTAATATTTTTTCCTTCGTTTAATCTTATTACTGGAATTGTATAATTATATCAAATTACATAAATTACCTAATTGATTACCAAATCTCAATTAAAAAAACTGTAATGTTCAGCCTAAACTTACAAAGACCTAATAATTTTTTAAACCCCATATTTATTGTTTAAGATCCGCGTAATAAATATATTTCTTGATTCTAACTTTCATAAGTTTGATACCTCACTACACAAGTTTAACTACGCCACTACAATTTTTTTTACACAATTACAGGTACCTATTATATGCGTGTATAAAAAGGACTAATACTAAGATTAATGACTACTGATATTTTGTCTATAATAAATTTTTCCAAAAAGGTATTTTGAAACAACTGAAATAGCATTATAATATTTATTATAAAGAACGAAATAAAAAAGTCCAAGGAAACCTTGTAAATCTTTTATTGAATACCTATTATTATTTATAAATTTGGTGTAACAATGGTCCTGCAGTGGATCAACGCCTTCCATTCGCATATCTTCATCAGAATCCATGCTAGAGTCTTCATCAGATGACTCGGATGTGTCACCTGTAACATTAATTACAAATTCATCCATTTCCATATCCATCAGCCTATCTGATTGGAAATATTTATCTTCTATTTTTTCTACATGTTGGCATACGTTGAACCATTCTTCTGTCGTTACTGTTCTAAACGCCGCCTCAGTAATAGCAGCTATTTCGCTAGGAGCTTGAGTGATATTTTTCTCTGCAATGCGTCTCTTTACTATTGCCCAAATTTTTTCTATGGGATTTAAATCGCAGTGGTAAGGCGGCAAACGGAGAACCTCATGTCCATATTCATTTAGCATTTGATCTATTTCGTACTGTGGGTCTCCCTTGTATTTTTTAATTAATTCGTATAATTGCGCTTTTGTCCAACAGTCTTCAAATGTAATACCATTTCTCGTAAGCCATCCTTGGAGCTCTGCTTTTGTATTGCCAATTGTAGGCGGCTTGTTGATCTATGTGCAGTGGTATGACGCATTATCCATCACTACAATGCAATTCGTTGGAAGATTCGGCACAATTTTTTCTTTCATCCACCGCATGAAGTTAGCTGAATTCATATCGTCATGATAGTCGTTCGATTTGGAGTTAGACCTGAACAGCAGCAGTCCGTTTTCAACAAACCCAGTTTTACCTCCACCATGGGCTATTATCCATCTTCCACCGACGCTATCAGAAGCAGGAATACCAAGCTGTTCCTTCGATTGCCAACATTTTTGAAGGTGGTATGAAGCATGTATATACGTTTCGTCAACATAAATTACCGGTCGATTTTCTTCCTGACCATTCTTGCGCAACCTCAGAATATATTTTGCTCTCCAAGCTGCAATATCACTGCGTTCTACCAATACTTTTCGTTTAGACTGGCACCTTTTGTATTTGTAGTCTTTAAAATACTCCTCAACGATGTTCTGCCATATTTAAAACCAATATCAGTTTTCAATTCCAACCAAAGTTTATTTATGGTAGGAATCTCCTTCTTCACGACGTAAAATGATTGAATTAAATGCCTTATAGCGCACATATCGAAATCGTCTAAATCATAAATTTTTTTCCTTCGGTTCCTAGTTTTTCCCGGCGTCACAATTTTAGAAGATGAAGCTTCTGCTATATTACCCTCTTGACTTATCTGGGTGACGGTGCGTTCAGAAACACCTAAAACAAAATAAAAACAATGCATTATAAATACATGATATTAATGACACGAGGAAATTAAAAAGGAACAATAGAGAAAATTGGGGAATTTTATTGTAATGGCATCCCTAAAAATTACCTATTAAATGTGCAACGCGGGCTCTAACTTTGGAAAACGGTACTATAGGCCCGTTATTGTCTCGTTCTTCTTCACAAGCACGTTTGACCTTCAAAATAACATCCCTGCCAGCACTTTTAATCACTTTCGGCATAATGATAACGATTAATTACTGCAAAAAAGAATAAAAACAGGACACCTACCACTCTGTTTAGACACTTGCCATAAACAGTAAGATGGCGGCACACGATTAGTTCCAATTTTGGCCGCGCGCAGAGTTATCTTGCGCGCACTCTATATATAATGTACTCTGTGGTGGTAGTGCTAGAGAGAAAAGCAGTCATATCATAGATTACTGTGTAGTGTGCAATACACAGTATTCATCACAGAATACTATTACTCCTTTGTAATTATAGTCCTTAGAGCATACATTACATGGAGGGAGCACTGTGTGAGCAGAAAGCGTGATCGGTGCTCTACGGTTTAGGTAGAGTCTGTCTCTCTCGCACATGCTTCTGATTGGCTGGCGTGTTTTCCACCGTTGCATCGCGCGAGCGCATGCCCAATGAAACAGCCAATGACAGTGACTGTGCGAGAGAGACAGACTCTACCTAAACTCAGTCTCTCTCTCTCTCTACGCCGATCACGCTTTCTGCTCACACAGTGCTCCCTCCATGTAATGTATGCTCTAAGTTATAGTCAGTAATCTGTGTTTGTAATCATAGAGTAGAGTAATATATACAGAAATGATGATTTCGGATTGAAATTGGGTTTTTCATTGTTACATTTGTACAAGTAAAAGAAAACTTTAACAAGAATTACTTGTATTTCAAAATGTCCATAATTGCTGTAACAGGAATTCCTCCATTGGTAAAATATTTTTAAGTTTTTGTAGTTAAACAATATTGGTGTAGTAGTACTTCATTAAACTAAACGATTGTATATTATAATCACAGCAGATCTTACTTATATCGACTCTTAACATAAGTATTTTTCCCCTTTGTCTTACATTTACGGATTTCTCTCACGCACATCTGTGGCCCTATCAACCGCTGGCCGCCTCTTGGTGGCCGCTCTTCGGGGCAGGATGTCTTCTTCCGCTCCTCCTTTTCAAGCAGTATGTGCTGGGAAATGTGCTGCTTTTCAAGTAACATAGCCTTCAACTTTCATTTAATTCTCCCCAGTAGACCTTGTCTGGTCGTGCTCTCTCCAAGCAGCTACTTCTTGCTGGCCTTTTTCTACAGGCTAGCTACATGGTTTGTTCTTTATTAAATGGTAATCAAGCTATGGCTACATAGGCGGGAACAAGTTCAAGGAGTTTTATAGGATCTTTGTGAAATTTTGATTTGATTGCCTTTTACCCTTACCTTTTATAGATTTGTTACGGTAGCATTTCCTTTTGTAATGAAAAAAGTAAAACATATACGCTTATTTATCTTTTTTCTAGTGGACTAAGAAAACAGTTATTAAAAAATTATTAAAGACAATTAATGGAAAATTTGAAGCACTTGACCTTCGATGCACCAAACAAGGCAGAATATGTTACCTTCGCCTTTCAGAAAGACTGGATCCATTGTTTGTTGTGCAAAAAATCAACAGACTTAATTTTGGGAAAGTAAAACTTGGAGCTTTAAAACCGGATCAGTTACCAGATGTATGTAATATTACTTATTAAATATTTTTTTAACTAACATGACATATAATACGCTGTTATTGAAAGTCATGCTTACCTGCAGCAAAGATGTCTAAAGACTTCTGTAGTTATTTAACAGACAATGGAAAAATGAACCGGTCATATAGCTCAAAGACTTAACAACAGATGGGGAAAAAAGATTCTCAGGTGGTAGCCTCGTACCAATAAGCAAAGTATGGGGTTGCTGCCCCACTAGATTCAGTGATGACTTGGTAAGACGTGCAGGAAGTTGATGGATGCAGGTGGCTCAGGACCGTGCTTTGTGGCAATCCTTGCAAAGGGCCTATATCCAGCAGTGGCCTTATGAAGGCCTGTAATGATGATGATGATGAAACTGACAACAGAAGGTTCATTATTACCTGTGAGGACTAAGCTGGAATAGCTTAGCCTATTAGCAATAGCTAATTAGGTCTTGAAACACTTCAAACCAGAATGCAAAAATAAATGCATTACTGCTTGGCAGCAGAAATTGATTAGAGTATGAAAATAAATATCCCCTTGTATGGCAATCGGCCAGAATCTGGCCAATGGTTTATCACATGCGTCTGGCAAGCGTCCAGATTCTGGCCAATCCGCGACTGAGTATTTGGCAGGTAAAATAACTGGCAACAATGATTGCTATAACACTTTAGAAAATTATATACCAAAGAAAGAGGATGCAATACAAAGCTACTAAAGTACTACAATGTTTAGAAATTTCGAATAAACAGCCTGTGTGGCAGTCATATGTGAATGTCGCTTTTATATGTTCGCGCATCCTGGTTTTGGTCCTTTCTTTTATTCGTAAATCGAACAAATATTGAAGTTTGGTGCTATTTTAACATGGAAGCGTTACTAATCAACAGTTTTTAATTCATGATTTAGGGATATGTATACTTTTTACTCAATAAAAAAAAATTTCGAACATAAATGGCAGTTATACTTGCCTTACGTTTATCTCTATTGTTGATGAAAAATACATTACATACTTGTTATAAATTAAACTTTGTTTAAATTAAGAACTTGAACCATACTTAACGTTAAATATTATTGAATGCCACTTGACTCCCTCCTTTTTCAAAAAATAAGAAACAATATACCCTATTTTTTGTGTGAGGTGTAAAGATTGTAAAAAACTTTTGGTGTATAAAATTTATAGGAATGTGTGGTTTTTTGCTTTTTTATTATAAATTAGTGTATATTGATGAAAATAAATTACATTTATTTTGTTAATGAATTATGTTTTTCTTTAATTTTCACAAATTACATACAAAATACTATTAAAAATTTGGTTTTCTAACTTTGCAATTGGCTTAATAAAATGTATTAGGTTGTATTCAACTAAGATATCTACAAAGTAATAGCAAATAATATAACAATTCAAATGACATAAGTTTTATACATAGCTTCCATACAATATTTTAGAGAAATTACTAATTTAATCGCCACATGCTGATATCGCAGAAATTACCTGCTAAGGCCTTAGCAGATGAGCATTATTTGTAAATGGCTGGCCGCCATATGAGGGGATATGAATTGTTAACATAAAATAATAGATTGAGCTTAAACTGATATGAGATTGTCTGAATTAGCTTGCTCACTGAGTGACATAAAGCTTTTTTTATATTGTCAAGTCATAAAAGACGATATTGTTATATACACTTCACAGTATGAACCACAATGGTGAATCATATTCTGTTATCTGTTTTGACCATTGCAGCTGTATTTTAATAGGTAACTGGATGCTACTGGTGCTTTACTTAATGTTGTGTTTTCTTTAAATATATAGGTATAATGTTATGGTTTATACAATAAAATATAATAAAAATGTTTTTCTTGTCTAAATTTATATATTATTGTAACATTAGTGCTAAAAGTGAAGTACAGTCACTTGTAGTCATTTCTAGAACAATAATGATGCAAAATTGAATTGCCGCAATGAATGACAGTTACTGATGATAAATATTTGTCACATAGCCAGGATGAATGAATTTACTGTCCACAGTAGAAAAATATATCCATACTATATAATACTATGTTTTTTCTAGCTGCCCTATAGCGTAAAACCAAAAGGGATTCCTAATAAATTGCGCAGAGCACTACGTATACCAAATGAATCAACTCTTGAACAGGTAATTGTGATTTTATGATATATTTGTTCTCAATATTCAGTAATAGGTTGCAGAAGAGTCTTCTAATATTCAATAATTGCTGTCATTCAAGTGCCACTCACAATTTTCAAGAAAATTCATTCTCACACCATACAAAATGTTAAATATGAAATAACTATAACATTTTATTGCTTATTACATATTAGATTTATATCTGGTAGAGCCATGCTGCAACTATATTAGTAGTATATTTATAGCACAAATGGGTCGGCTTGACCGGGGAAGGACCACGCTCTCACAGAATACCATCGTGAAATAATAGCTTAACGCTGCTGTGTTCCGTATGGTGAGTGTAGAGAAGCGGAGACCCATTTTACTGGAAACGAGGCAGTCCATCTTAGTCCTCAAGGGTGACAACACGTCTGCAATTTGATTTGTAATCAAGAATAGATGTAGATGTCTATAGGCCACAGCAACCACTTACCATCGGGTGGACTGTGTGCTCGTTTGTCACCCTATCCAAAAGAGATTAACTTTTTGATTTAACTTTAAAAGATTAGAAAACTTTTACTCTTTACTTAATTTGTACAAACTCCTCAAAGTTCAAATTACATACTATACCTAATTGGATTTTATACTTAACAATGTAAATTAAAATTTTTCTTAAAAATTATTTTGTATTTGATTTAATGTGTAGATAATTGCCTCACAATCTATTTCTATGGATATGATAATATTAGTTGCCTTCTTCTACAGGACAGGCAAAACAATAGAGCGGGCTTTTTTCATGTTATAAACTAACATTTATCTGAATAAACTGAAAAATATTTTTATATAAGTAATTCCAATTCATACATTTTCAGATTCTATTTACTGCCACCCATGAGATTTTGCTTGAAATGCAAAGCAAGTACACTGGCTTATACAATGTCAGTAAGAAGACTGAGCACAGACTGTTGGATAATATTGCTAGGGTTAGTGTTTGTCTGTTTTGATTTGTGTAAATGTCCATTGTGATTTTTTCCGGTTCAGTTTTGCCAATGATGTGGACTCGGAATTTTATCTTTATTGTAATACCAAAAAGACGGCTTTGGCACTGCAAGCTTTCAGTTCAATTCTTGCATGTCTAATTTTAACTTTGATTTGATTTGATTTACTAATAAGTGGTTTAATTCTAGGAGTTAGTCCATGTGCAGTGTGACATCTATAAAACACATCCACAACCTACAATAAATATACCTGTGATATTTTTTTACTTGTTTTAAAGCAAGCCAAGTGGGGCCTATAACCCCTTCTTCCTTTCTCTTCCTTGTAAATTGTTATAAATTTTTACTCTAATTTTAAGTACCTCTTTATCTCCTCTCCTTCGGTTTTGGTTGCCGCTAAAACCAAATAAAAAAAGCTAGTCATGGTCAGAATTTTTAAAATTAAGTAAATACTTTAAAGGCATTTAGAATGAGCAGTGTATAATTAAGGTAGTTTATGTTTTTTTTTCAGTTTTTTGGGGTGGCCATATAGCTCGAAGAACTGACAACCGTTGGGGAAAAAAGGTTCTCGAGTGGCAGCCTCGTACCGGTAGGCGAAGTGTAGGGCGACCCCCACTAGATGGAGTGATGACCTGGTAAGACATGCAGGAAGTCGAAGGATGCAGTTGGCTCAGGACCGTGCTTTGTGGCATACCTTGGGGGAGGCCTATGTTCAGCAGTGGACTTGTGAAGGGCTGTAATGATGATGATGATGATGAAGTTTTTGAAAGGGAGAAAATCTATTAAGAGGCGCCTTTTAACCTGACTGCCCTACAAGGAGGGTAAAGTTTTTGAGAGTGTGTATGTATGTCTTTCTTTAGCCCAATATGTAGCCTAAACCGCTTCATGGATTTTAACATATATGGTGTCGTTAGATCTGTCTTAGTTATAGAAGTGACATAACACATTAATTTTTTGTCTTTTAAGAAATTTTTTTACACATCTGGTTTTTTAATAACTGTTTTTTATGTATAACTGTTTGAGAAGACCCTAGCCGTGTGCTGAGATTCATCTCGGCTGGACAGCATTCATTACAACACATCCTCTCGTCACATATAACTCACAACCTCAAAATTAGAGTACTAAAATAATGTAAATACTAAAATAATTTTTTTTTAATCTGTGATCATAATAAATTGCCAATAATTTACAGATCCTAGTTGATCGCCTCAAGAATATAATGGAAACCACATCAGACGTGGACTCGTCTTTCAAGCTGACTAAGCAATACAGGAAAAAACATCCGCACTTTGCTGACTTCCAGCTAATTCTGTCAACTCTTCATGAAATAGAAGATAAGGAGGGGAAACCGCGCACACAATTGAATAAACAGGAATTCTCCAAACCCAACATAAAGCCTTACGGTATGTATATTTTCGGTTAGAGGTTGTACTGTTTGCTCCTATTACTTAATTATATATAATATTCATCACAGTTCATATCATACCTGTCTTTGTATTATAATAGAAATAAAGAAAATAATTTAAACAAAAGAATTGGGGCCTGTGATTGGCCCAAAACAATTTGATCATACTTCCATCGCAGATAATTCACAATATTTACATTGAATATTTATTAAGGATTATAATTTATATCTATCTATATAAAGAAAAAGAAACTTATCTAGAAAAGCTAAAAGAAAATACAACAAGACTATAAGAAACAATGAAGAACACAGAAAATGTACAAACTTTTAGCGGCTCGAATCGTCGACGACCGAGCGCTTTCCGATCGGCTCGATTCACTGGCACTGCGAAGAGATGTTACATCCCTTTGCATTTTCTTTCGCTTATACCATGGAGAGTGCTCTGAGGAATTGTTCGGATTAATCCCAGCCGCCAAATTTCGTGACCGCACTACGCGGCAAACGTCCCGATACGACCCACACCATCTGGATGCTTGGCCGTCCACCACTGTACGTTTCAAAAGGAGTTTTCTTCCGCGTACAACCTCTCTGTGGAATAGTTTACCACCGGCGATTTTTCCGGACCGATACGACCTGGGGACCTTCAAGAAAAGAGCTTACTCCTTTCTAAAGGGCCGGCAACGCACCTGCAATTCCCCTGGTGTTGCGGTTGATCATGGGCGGCGGTAGTCACTTAACATCAGGTGAGCCGCATGCTCGTTTGCCCCCTCTTCTATAAAAATAAAACTCTGAGCAGCGAGCTGGAAAAAACCATCACAAATAGTCTAGAACAGGATAAAGTATTTAAAACCAGTAACAAAAAACCTAAAATTATCACCGAACAAACACAAGAACTGATTTCTAAACGTACGGAACTCCTTTCTAAAAGAGAAAAATCTAAAGAAATGAGACACAAATTAAAAGAACTATATAAGAAAACCGACAGAGCAATCAGGCAAGACTACGAAAGACATAGAAGAATAATCATAGAGAGAAATATGGCAACATATAAAAGTTCAAAGAGAGCTCTTAAAGAGCTGTCAACGCATAAAACTTGGATACAAGGTCTACAAGATGGAAAAGAGGAAACAAGAAACAGAGAAGACGTAGTAAAGCGCGCAACAACTTTCTACTCAGGGCTTTACAGAAGAACATCTCAAGATGAAACCCAAAAGGATGAACAACTGGAAAGTAAACATAAAAGAGAATCCCAATGGGAAGAAGCAACTTTAACTCCTATAACTGAAGGGGAATTAGAAAGGCATATAAAAAGACTAAAGTCTGAAAAAAGCCCAGGGCCAGATAAAATCACAAATGAAGCTCTAAAACTTGGGTCACCTATTCTAGTAAGCTACCTGACGAAACTATTCAACTTAATCATACAACAAGAACAAATACCAAAACAATGGTGTAGCTCAAACATAATACTGCTCTATAAAAAAGGAAATCCACTTGACATCAACAATTATAGACCAATTAGTTTACTATCTTCAATCTATAAATTGTTCTCTTCGATAATCCTAAGTAGAATAGCCCCAGACATAGACAGAAACCAACCAATAGAGCAAGCAGGCTTCCGACCACGCTACTCAACAATGAATCATATACACGCTATGGAACAAATGATAGAAAAATACAAAGAATATATAAATGAAAAATACATAAGTGTGCTAAAGAACATATATGCTAAGAGTACAAGCAAAATAAAACTAGAACGACACTGAGAAGAGTTTGAAATTGGGAAAGGAGTGAGGCAAGGTGACCCTCTTTCACCCGCACTATTTATAGCCGTCCTTGAAGACATATTTCAAAACCTAAAATGGAAAAACAAAGGTATATGGAGCCCCAAAAACCAATCAGAATAGAAGGAAAATCCATTGAATATGTTCATGATTATGTATATTTAGGCAAATTGATATCTTTCGAACTAAAGAACACTCAAAAAGAAATAGAAGAATAAATATAGCGTGGAAAAATATTGGGCTCAAAAAGAAATTCTCAAAGGAAATTACAGCCTAAGATGAAAAAGGTCATAATGGACTCGTATATCCTCCCAAGTCTAACATATGCAAGCCAAACATGGGTGTACACTGAAAGAGTGAAAAACAAAATTTTGTCTTGCCAACATGCTATGGAGAGGAGCTTCCTTAAACTAAGGAGAATACAAAAAACGAGAAACATAGATATTCGAAAGAAAACGAAATTAACGGATGCACTTCAGCATGGTCAAACACAAAAATGGAAATGGGCAGGACACATAGCTACATACCAGGACAAAAGATGGACCTACCAAACAACAAAATGGAAGGGCCCATTTGGCAAGAGAAGTGTGGGTCAGCAAAGGAAAAGATGGATGGATGACATTATTAACATAGCAGGAGAAGAATGGATGCAAATTGCCAAAAACCGTGAAGAATAGCTCAAATTGGAGGAGGCTTTTACCCAAGAGGGACTACATAAAACAAGAAGAACTTTCTAATAGTTCTATGTATTAATTTATAATTTTGATAACTCTGTAAACGTGTAGAGAAATAAAGCTGTTATATATATATATATATATATATATATATATATATATATATATATATATATATATATATAATATATAATAATAATAATAATCACATCACACTCACATGTTTGTTGTCAGAGGTAGCTATTATGGTTGTAGCATGAATGGATTGGCTCGACCGGGGAAAGACAACGCTCTCACAGAATACCAGCGTAAAATAGCAGCTTACAGTTGAGCATAAACGCAGAGAATGTTGATGATTTTTAAATGGTAATGATTATAACCAACCCAAAAACACCAATGTGAAAAGGGATCCAAGTTCCATACAAACAACATTCAGTTTTCGATGATAAACAAGTTAAAGCCTGAATGGGCAGACTTCATAGCAATCCCAAGAATGTTGGTCTTCTTGAATGGATCCTTATAATTTAAGACGTTAAGTAAAAACGGTAGCATTCCGTCCCTCATGCAGGGCATGTATGAGGGAGAAGGAAACGACAACCCACGGGTTGCTGGCATGTCCAGAAGTCACCGTCATATCACAGGGCTAAACATCTAGGACGCCCATATTACTCCGAAGTTGTTAGCAATATCTTAGGACTGCTGAACTTTTTCGAGGAGATTTCATGGCTCAATTAATCACGGTATTCCTACCCACACGCAAAATACACGCTTAGATGTGGATGGATGGATGTATTAACTAAACTAGCGTCACATCTACACCAAAGCATTGCTAGGAGTTGTATGTTGCAAACTTATCCCAATTTTTTTTAAATTATTATCCTTAAACCTGCGTTTAACGACAATCCCACTTGATAGAAAGTGGTGATGGTGGAAGGCAAAGATAGTGGGTGAAGTGCACTGATTTAACAAAAGCCTATTCACTCTTGCCTTGAAGACATTGTAATCGGACGGAGACATGCTGGCAACTTATTCCACTCCTTTGTTATATGCATGACAAATAGCTGTGTAGCATGCCTTTTTACAATAATGAATCGCAGTGGAGAGTTCTACACTGCGCCGGTCGATAGATTGGAAAAGTAGTGACTAGTTTAATTAAAACATAAACATAAACACTCACGTCTGTCACCCAGAGGGATAAGCAGAGACTACGGACTTCCATTTGCCACGATCCATCTATGCATACATGCTCGTTGGTTAAGGGTACTTCTAACGTGGCCCATTTTCAAAATATCGCCAATTTGGTCGATAAACTTTTTTCTAGGGCATCCCTTCCCGACTCTGCCGTTCACATCTGCCATATAAATTTGCTTTGTCCCTCTTTCCTCATTCATTCTTTCTACATGACCAAACCACCGAAGCATTCCTTTCTTAATCCTGGTCACAACATCATATTGCATACCACATTTATCTCTTATCACGCAATTTCTCATCCTGTCATTCAGATTCAACCCTAGCATATTCCTTAAAGACCGCATTTCTACACATTTATTCTACTTTCGTGCTAATTCTGCCACACCCAGCTTTCACTACCATACATTAAAGTAGGGACTAACACAGCATTATGAATTACCGTACGTGCCTTTTTTGACACATTCTGGTTCTTCATAATAGAGTGTAGTGCCCCATTCACTCTATAATTTATAATATTTCACACTTTTGTTGCAGTTATCGACAACGTACCTTACGACAAAGTGAAGGAAATATGCGCCAAGTATATTAAAACTATAACAAAGAAGGTAAATTTTTCTTTTGGTAACTATCAACTTAGTTTAACTTCAAAAACTACTCCCTTTACGTTCAACATCAACAGCCTGTTAAAGTACACTGCTGGTGATGAGTCTCTACTGAAGTAGAGAGGATTTGCCTTAAACGTCACACTTGGCAGGTAAATTAACAAGCAGAAACATGTATTCATTATTTTGTATTATTGACATTATTCATGCAAATATACCAACATGCTGTATCGGTGTAAGAATATCTACAGTTTGTGCCAAATCGATTGAGAAAAACGGACAATGACTTCAGATATGAGCCGAGTGTCAAAAAAGGCGTAACTTACAAAATCTCAATTTAGATGTGATAACAATATTTAAATATTGATATTATTCACACTTCAAGGTCAGCACATATGTTTTTTTTTGTTTCTTAAATAATATTGTCTGTGGTTCCTATAAACATCGTAAAATCTTACGGTACATCGCGAGAAATGTGTTATATTTTATATTTCAATTTATGGTACGTAACGCAGCAATTCATTTAATTACAGTTTCATATTAAAAAAAAATATTCGAAGCAATATAATCACCATATTGAGCTTTTGCAAATTCATCCCTTTAAAATAAACAAAACGAGCGTTACGTCAGTTCGTTCTAAAAGAAACGTGACAATGGCAGTCAGAGATGGGTCACTTGTTTTGGGCCGGTCTGCATGCACCAAATAAAAATAAAGTTCTTATATAATATTGAAAATAAAGTTTTATCCTTTGAATAAGTATGTACTTATTCGGTGTCGTTATCACTCGAATCTTTATATGTGTTATAAATTAATGCTTTTTTTCGTTAAATGAATAAAGTACTTTATAATAATAGATGATTTTTCTTCTACAGCGACCTTTTATATAACTTTTTAATAATAGTTAATAAATATATATTATATCAATCATTATAAAAAAATAAAGAAAGTACTACATATAAAAAGTGCCTATATATTGAAGGATTGTAGCTGGTTAAACCGACCGAAAGGTCATTGTCCGTTTTTCTCAATCGATTTGGCACGTACTAACACTCGATGTACTAACTAACTAACGTAACAAACCAATCGATGGGCAACAGTTTCTTCCACAACAAAAAAAATAAAAAAATCAGTTGCCAACCCGTTTGCCAAGCATGGTGACTACGGCAAATATCTCCCCTATGAATCATTGGGCAAGGCCTTGTACAGTGTAGTGTAATTTATTGAGTAGAGTTCGAAGGACAATGGCGAAATAATAGTTGACGGAATTATTAAGCGTCTACTTATGTCACCATTACAGATATCAATAAAATAATTTACTGTTTTATCTAATCAAGCTTATGGTCTATCGAAGTCTTGAAAAAAATTATCATACATAATTTATAACTAAATTGACTAGTTGTTGTGGCAAATTGTTGATGGAATTAATTAGCGCCTACTTATGTCACCATTACAGATATTAATAAATTAATTTACTATGTATTATCAAATCAGGCTTATAGCCTATCGAAGTCTGGAAAAAAATCATCATACACAATTCAAAACTTAATTGATTAGTTGTTGTAGTTGTAACGATTCGTCAGTTAAGACAGGCAAAGGTTTTATACCATACAGCCGAGTTTGATGTGTATTTTATTTAGAAAACTCTTCTATATATACTAATGCGTTCTTTAAAGATTCCCTCTATGCTAGTAATTACAATTAAGGTGTTTTTCACCATACGGCCTAATCTGATGTGAAATTCGATTAAACTGGAATATCTTTAATTCCTGACTTTCTGCAATAGTATGACCGAAGAGAAAAATTTTCAGGATTGCAAACTTTATATTTTGAAACATTTTGTATTAGTAGACGCAAGAAAAAAATGTCAACTAAAATTTGTTTGAAAGTTCGCCAGTATCCTTTCTACCAGAGCTATATTTTATACAATAAGTTTAATAATAGTGTTCTTAGACGAAAAAAAAATAGATAGAACTCTACATATTTTTCAATAAACGTCAAAACCATACTCCACTTATTCTAATAACACCCACTCAGGCGCACATGTGCATCTCAAATAATTTGCAACTAACAACACGGTTTTAGGTGCATATATGTGCGTTTAGCAGTGGATTTTTAAAGAAAGAAAGAGATGTGTACGTGAGTTTGTGTCGAGAAGTTAAGCAATGTTTACAATGCAGTAGAGCTGCTATTATCGTTGTAGCACGAATAGGAAGGACCGAAAGCGCGAACGCGCTCATGGAATATTTTGTTTTATTTAGTGAAGAATCGTTCTACCTTAGTCCTCAGTGGTGACACAACGCCTATTCATTATGATTCTTATAGATTCTAGATTGAGGATAGGTTTAGGTATCTACAGGCCACAGCATCCACTAACCATCAGGTGGATTTAGTGTTCGTTTGTTCTTTAAAACAATAGGTTTGATGTCACTTGACTTTGTGTTTTGTCCATGTATATTTTACACTACCTAAGCCTACCCCCGACTTTACAGTTTATGTAAACTTAACCTACTTAGACAGGTTACTTACCTACTACAGTAAACTTAACCTACTAAATAGTTTAAGACAACCTCTAGTGTTTCTCATAGCTCGTTCACTTGTAGCTATATTATATCCTATGCATTAGGCACCGTTTACATTTTCACAGTTAACATTAAGTTATAAATGATGATCCTAGCAAATACGAGGTATATCCAACTCAACTAAACCCTAAAATTAACAAGTGGTAAAATTAAAAGAATTTGTACAACCCACTTCAATATACATATAGTCCGAACATCATCAATGTAGTCGAAGTCAATTGAATACGTATTATTAACTGTAATTAAATGAATTGCTGCGTTACGTACCATAAATTGAAAGATAAACTCACAAACTCAAAAACTACTGGTCAGGTCTTGATCAATTTTATATGGGACCACATGAGAAGTAACCAGCAAATAAAAAAAGAATTATCGAAATCGGTTCACCGATAAGAAAGTTCTGAGGTAACACACAAAAAAATACAATCAAATTGAGTACTTCCTCCTTTTTTGAAGTCGGTTAAAATAGTTTTATACAAATGTTGGCTTTGTCTAAAGTTTGAACCGAGGATCTGTAGGGTAGAGCATTCGGATAGCTAGGCTACTTGATTATCAATTACCTAATTATCTACTATAAATAACATGTCAGGATTTAAGGTGGCTTGAAAAATGCTAATGTAATAGAACAAATTGCGGTACAAATAAATATAAGTATAAAATTAAAAACGGTCTAGGTGCGACCTGAAAACTTTACACTACTAATTTCCCAGTGGAAAGACTAAAAAATATCATACGTTTTAATATTTTATACAATTTTTCGTTCGGCACAAAAAACGACTTGACCGATTTTGCTCAAAATTTAATGAGGTCTAAGTTACATAATTATGCGTTAAATGAAACTGGTCCCATGTCAATATCACCCTTTGTTCTCAAGATAAACGCAGCGAAAATTGAATCCGAACATACACACATACGTACATGTGCACACGCGGACATCCTCTTAAAAACTATACTATTCGACTCTAAAGACCTTGAAACGTTGAGATATGCTAAAATTTCCAATTTGCAAAACCGGACCTTTACCATAACTTCCCACTGGGAAGTTAAAAATTATTAAGATTAAAAGACTTAAAACATTATCGATTCCCTCAGCTCACAGACCATGTGAACAGCCTGAACACGGACAATTGCGACGAGTCAAATCCTGAAGAGGCGGCACAAAAAAGAGTGCGCCTGGCACTGAAGAAGATCGCTCCGTTCTTTCCTACGGTGAGTTAGTAATTTTTGATCGTTAAAAGTAAAACATGACAAAAACAATAATAAATAATAATAATAATAATGTCCTTCAGACCGAATTTCGGCCACGGCGGCCTGCCTCAACGGAGACTAGCCATCGGCGCAGGACAGGATTATAGTGTCCAAGTGTATGCGCAAGCACAGTTGCACTCTCTATTCCGTATACGTGCTTTCCGAGGAATGGGGGTGAGACACCGCCAACTTCTTGACTCCGGGCAGCTACTCAGAGTTTCTGGACAGAAAAACTCAATAACTGATTTTTTGGTCCGACCCAGGATTCGAACCCAGGACCTCATGATCAGCACTCGCACTACTACAACCACTAGACCAACAGGCAGTCAAGTATTCTGTGAGAGCGTGGTCCTTCCCCGGTCGAGCCGACCCATTCGTGCTACAACTAAACTACTAATATAACTGCAGCATGGCTCTACCACGTATAAAAATGTAAATAAAGTAAAATAAAGTCGGAGCGAAGACAGGACGCGAACCAAGGAATTTCGGTTTCGCGACCACTCGATATCCACTTGAGCTATTACGATCATCAACACAGTGTCAAAATTTACCTTCTTATATTGTAGCAGTTTTTCGTTGCCTGAAAACAAACGTTTTCTAAAAATAAATCCTAGCTAGATAGATTTATTGCCCCCGAAACTCCCTGGACAATAAATTTTATGAAAATCGTTGGAGCCGTTTTCGAGATTACGATTATATATATATATATTTTGCAAGAGCCAATATTAGGATAACCTGCCGTTAAGGTATACCCGACGAGACGATATGTCGTAATTTCCCGAACGCTAAATTGAACCAACGCAACGCACTCTGAAACCTTCAATGATTTTTCTGAACATACGTTTTGTTTTGCAACAGATTATTAATCAAGTGGTTTTGAAGAACTTCGTTCCAGAGAAGGCGTCGTATTACAAGATGAGGGTGAGTATAACGAAACATTTTTTTTGATTTTCTCAAGTTCGGTTGTGCAAGGTCACTGATAATATTGGTAAGGAGTATAAATAAAATTTTATAATTTAGCTGGCCCGGCAAATGTTCTACTCTTTCCGATAGAGAATTTCACTCCGCATGAAGTTTTTACAATGTAAATATGAAATATATTTTAAAAGGTTTCGTGATTTCTTATTTTGGCACTAAACCATCATAATATAATTTGTAATGTCAGCTCGTTTTGGCACATAAATGAAACATATGTTAATAACCTTGCCACAGCGCCATCTATCGGATCCTAGCAAAGCTATGAACCATCGTCTCGACCATGAAGGTTGGAGAACAGGAGAACGATCGCCGTAGAAAATAGTGTCCCAGAAATATGGACACCATAAGTGAGGCGCTGCGATCGCTAAGTTCGGTAAATAAAGATCATTTTCAGTCTATTTTTCCGATCAGATGCTATAAACCACTTGCACATCCACGCACAATAAAATATTTCTACATTTTTTAATGTTACTTTTTGTCAAAAATTACAAAATTACGGAGCATGAAAATTTTCTCACCAATGCCGCGGAGAAAATTAGTACATTATTCAACTAACTTCATCTACTTGTACTCATAAACAGCTATCTTCGTGGTCACTACTCACCGACGTCAGCGCCGCTATAAATTCTACAATTTTCAAGCACAGGCGGGCTATGCTTTAGTACGTAGTGATCGTTCTCCTGTTCTCTAACCTTCATGGTCTCGACAAAACAAATATATTGCGTGAATATGACGCATATCGGCGACCGAGAGCAGCGTACTAAGTGGGAGACATCTGGTATTGCGCTTGCTAACGTGCCTCCTCTGGGAAATCTAAAGACCGTTCCGGAGAATACCAAGTTTTCGTGGAACACTGTGCATTTCAGATATTTATGTCGTTTCACATAGGGCTGCCCGCACTGAAGAGCGTATTTTTCTAAAGGAAAAATAAAAAAAAGCAATGCCCAAAATGGTTATTACTACATAACGTTATTTTTTTGTTTCAATAAACTCTCATTTGCACTTTAATACCAATGTAATTTTTTTATACCAAAGCCGTTTAACAATTGCTTCAAGTTACTGTTATCATTGTATGTATATGTGTAAAGTGCGATGGCAATGTTTCTTACATATCGTCGAGTGGGTGTCGAGGAAATGGGCAGCAGCGTCTTCCTGATAACAACTTAAAATTTAAAAAAAAGCTGCGGTTGCCGACCCGCCTACCTAGTGTGGCAACAATGGCGAAATACTTATGAGCCAATCTATGAATGAGGTTATGTTTAGTTGGGGGTTTTTTCATTCATCATCATCATTACAGCCCTTCACAAGTCCACTGCTGAACATAAGCCAAGGTATGCCACAAAGCACGGTCCTGAGCCACCTGCATCCATCGACTTCCTGCATGTCTTAGCAGGTCGTCACTCCATCTAGTGGGGGGGTCGCCCTACACTTCGCCTACCAGTACGGGGCTGGCACTCGAGAACCTTTTTTCCTTAACGGTTGTCGGTTCTTCGAGCTATATGGCCGGCCCATTGCCACTTCAGCTTAATAATCCGTTGGGCTATGTCGGTCACTCTGGTTCTACTGCATATATTCTTATTTCTATGTTTATCACGTAGAGAAACCCCGTGCGGGCTATGCATAGCTCCATAGCTCGCTGAGCGACTTTCGAGCGTCCTCATACGGCCAGCAGTGAAGGACCATGTCTCAGTTCCGTAGGTCATCACTGGCAACACGCACTGGTTGTACAACTTAGTTTTCAGGTCGTGTAGTTTTTTCATTGGCTGTAATGAATACTTTTATCATAAAAAGTATTGGTGACCGAAAGCCACACAGTGCAAACCGAAACCCTTTTTACCACATTGTTGCCACGGCACCGGTGGTGTTCTGTTTTAACACCGGAATCTTAGATGCAAAGGAATCTCATTTTAATTCTTATTTAAGAAATATGCCAGTCTCTTAGCTGTAGCGTCCACTTACCATCAAGTGGACTGTGCTCAAACTATGGATTAATAATAATCGTAACTTAGAGTAAAATAAACGACACGCATTGATCATGATCTGTGATATACATTCCTAATGAGCATACAGGTCATAGTCAGTTAATATGCAACCAGCTTGTGTTTTTTATTACCATACGGATGAACTACGTTTTGTTCTTTTAAAATTATTAACTTAAATTATAAATCAAAACCTACTTAAGTTAAAGTTATAATGCATGCTGTGTTTACTAGTAAGTAGTCACTACACTTAGCTTGAGAAAATTTTCTGTTATTTAAGATTGTTATTGTATAAGTTGACTGTTAGTAAGCCATATGAATAATAAAAAAAAAATACGCCTGCAAAAAATTTCAGATTATCCAGACAATAGAGGTTAGGTGATTAACTGTATTAAAAACCCCGTTATATTCAAAAATACATACATATTGGATGACCTTTATTACTGTCTGGAAAAAAATAGACCGTAACATCTGAACGGAGTAGAAGCCTATGTCACTGATATTTAACAAAAATGAAAAACAAAAATTTTGAATTAAATAAATAAATTAATTAAAATCTATCGAAATTAAAATCATATCATACATTACGAAAGGCACTAAAACTATAAATTTAGTAGGAATCTTTGACCTTGTCACTTCGCAGGGTTACAGGTTAGGGTGGATATGATTTGAATTTCGATATATTTTCATCAGTCATCCAGTATTTACAAACAAATATAAATATAACAAATATACGTAAAGTACTGATCATATTATGTAGGAGAAAATAAATACTACTTTATTTATTAAAACCTAGCTGTTCCCCGCGACTTCGTTTGCGTGAAATTTATTACGATTGAATTCCATGTATTTGAATTTTTTGCGAATGACCCCAATTCTTTTTCTAAAATAAAAATAAGACTATGTTACTCCTTATAACATCAGCTGTATGCCAGTGAAAGTGCTGACAAAATTGGTTCAGCTATTTCGGAGATTATCCGGAACAAACAGAAAAACAGACACAAAAAGATAAAGACATATGGTGTCGCGGACTTTTATGTATTATATTAATTATTTATATATTATGTATTATATTAATTTCTTCTAAAAAACTGTTGTACATCACTTTGTTCTATTGTCAATAGGTTCCGCAGCGTATGCGATATAAAGAATCTTTTGGTATTTTTTTCACGCCGTTGGTTACATTAACGAAGTTTTTATACGGATCGGACGTTCATCAGGGATAATGTAGGATTCCGTTAGTGAAAGAATTTTTTAAATCGGTCCAGTTGTTTTGGAGCCTATTCAATACAAACAAACAAATTTTTCCTTTTTATAATATTAGTGTAAGTGTAGAAAAGAAGGTAAAGTTTATAATGAAAGGGTGTTAAAATACCTTTTACAGGCCATTGTTTGGAGAGGGCTTGAATTAAAATTTATTCTTTTCTTTGTTTTAGGTATACGGTGAGCCGTTCATGCCGGCAAAGACTATAATGACGGAGTTCTTGAAGCGTCACCGTGCACAGAAAGCCTTCCGTTGCGATCGCTCATATAATCTTCTTCGCTGTAAAGTGCCCGTAGAGGCATTACCCTTGGTGATGGCGGCTGACGGCAGTACCGTTGGTAAATACTTTTCAGTACACGGCAACAACACCAATGGAATTGTTAATTGTAATTCTAAATGCTCACTTAACACATGCTACGTGGTAAAGAAAAACCCGAGAAAATCTGCATAAAATAATGAGGTTGCACCGTGTAGTAGGTGTGCAAGAATATCCACTACTGCATATCATCCCGTGGGTGTCGTACGACGGGACAGAGGGAAACAATTTTTATACGTGGTAGAGCCACGCTGCAGCTATATTATAGTTGTAGCACGAATGGGTCGGCTCGACCAGGACAGGACCACGCTCTCACAGAATACCAGCGTAAAATAGCAGCTTAATACTGTTGTGTTTCGTATGGTGAGTGTAGAGAACCGGAGACCCTCTTTACTGGAAGCGAGGCATTCCATCTTAGTCCTCACGGGTGACAACGCATCTGCATTTTGATTCGTAATCGAGGATAGATGTAGATGTCTATGGGCCACAGCAACCACTTACCATCAGGTGGACTGTGTGCTTGTTTGTTACCCTATACTATATAAAGAAAACAAATTACTAGATGGGCAGCAGCGTCTTCCTAATAACGACTAAAAATAAAAACTGCGGTTGCCAACCCGCTTGCCAAGCGTGCCAACTATGGCACGCTTGGCACGCTATAATATCACCCCTATGAGTCAATCTATGGGGCAGGCCTATGTTCAGCAGTGGACTATAAAAAGTAGTAACGGTAATGGGCATGTGGAATCCGTCAACATAACACTCTTCGGAATGTCTGCCCAGCAATGAGTTGTTTAAATTATGTATTTTACTTTTTTCTGCTTTAGCCATCGTAGCTCAGATGCTTACCGCTTGCTGTAAATTTCACAGTACGCGAGCAAACCGGGTTCGATCCCCGCCGGCACCAATGAAATTGTTAATTGCATTTTTAAGTGCTGATTTACCACGTGCTCGGCGGTGAAGGAAAACATCGTAAGGAAACCTGCATGTCTGAGAAATAAGAAAAAAAAATTCGAACACATGTGAAGTTTGGCAACACGCATTGGGGCACTTCCTTGCCCTAATACCCTCTCAGATATGAGCGGAGGCCTGTGCCCAGCAGTGGAGACGTATATAGGCTGTAACTAAATTTTAATTAATTTTAAGTAAAATACCTTATATTACATAAAATACAAAAATGCCCAGCGGGGTTTGTGTTGATTTCATTCATAATTGTAGTTGTTTATAGCACCATCAATCGCAGATTGTTATCTTGGTTAGCCCCGCTGGTATAAATATAATTGGCTTGAGTTTAATTAATACTTTGTAACTCGACAGCTAAAGCAACAATACACTTTCGACTAGCAGATGTTCCACTTTACAAAATACCAGAGTATATTAGAACAGAAATAATGACTGCATTTGGCAAGAACGACCAAGTGGATGTACCTGAACAGATGGCTGTAGATGACGAGGAAGAATGGAATCGTTTCTAGATTGTAAATAGATTATATTTGCAACTTCGATGAGTTTTTTTTTATTTAAAATTAAAATCTTCATAGTATGACTTGCGATCTTTGATTTTTATACCTAGCAACTACATATTAAGCGAAGGTAGCCTAATGGTAGGGAGCGGACAGTGAATTCAAAAGATCGTGAGTTCGAATCCGTTATACAATATAATACCCTTTATTGAACACTAAGAAAACAACATAACAAGAAACAAACAAAGAGAAAACAAAAGGCGGTCTTATTGCCAATTTCTTCCAGACAACCTAACCTTCGTTATTCGACATTTCTGATGGACCACTCCTAACATAACCATTTTAAGCTTACTAAGAGTGGTTAAGGGAATTTTAGTAATGTTAAGCTAGTATTTTTTAAATAAAATAAAATACTGTTCTCCAAACCGAATAATTTCGGACTTGGCAGCCCATCTCAACGGAAGCTAGCCATCTGCGCACAGGGTGATTGTGCAAGAGTGTGTGCGGAAGCACAGGTGCATTCTCTATTAGCTCGCTCTCATAGTGCGATGGGTCGGTAATCTGACACGACCGGAAAGAGATCAAGCTTTACGTGCTTTCCGAGCTACGGGACTACTGGATACGGAGTGAAACACACCTTCCGGACAGGACTTTTTGACAGAAAAACCCAATACCGGATTGTAGCTATTCCCGGAACCAAACGATCAGCAGCCGCGCTTACGATCACTACACTAAGGCAGTCAAACTAGGCATGTCGATATGAGATCGAAGAATAGATTTCTTGTGCCAAGAAGATCGATTTTTTATCGATATATACTAATAAATTGATCCACTGAATCGATTTTTTATCCAAGAAAATCTAGATTGAATCTTTTTCTGTTTTCATATGAACTATAACATTATTTACAATTATAGCCCGTTCACCGTAAGATGTCCCCTGCCTTGGCAAATGGCAGCATTGTCTACGGTGCTGCCAACAATATATGGAGCATTTACCCCACTTGGTGGTTGCTGGCAAAATTATCTAAACTTGAAAACCCCTGATTAATATATTTTACTTGCTTATTTAAATAATATACAGTTAGTTATAAGACTAGTAAGGTTGTGTATGATAACACAATTTAATTTTTAAATTATTTATTGATTTATTTTTTCCGACAATAATTATGGTCGAAAGGAACAATTCCAGACATACTCGTATCACTGTCACTCATAAACGTCGTCATCATCATCTGTCGTATCCGAATCTGTGCTGCTGTCATTTTCTAATTCAATTATGAATTTATCAGTAATATCATCCATACAGCCATCAAGTACTGCTTTTGCCAATCCTTAGGGGTTATAGATGAAAAAGCTTCTTCAGTTAACTTCACGATATTCCCAGCTTCTTGGCCGACGTTATTGCTGGCTACTCGTCTCTTTAAAAGACTCCACATAAACTCAATCGCATTTAAATCGCAGTGGTAAGGGGGCAACCTAACCACTTTATGGCCATGAGAAAGCAATAATTGGTCAGCCTCATAAATCGGCGCTTCTTTGTGCTCTTTTATAATTTCATAAAGTTCTGCTTTCAGCATTGTTGGTATATAAGATAATCCCTTATTTGTTATCCAATTTTGCATTTGAAGTTTTGAGGAACTCATACAAGGTGTTTTATTTACTTGTACGGTATGATAGGGAGCGTTATCTATCACGACTAAGGAGTTCGGAGGCAAATTGGGTATAAGTTTCTCTGAAAGCCATTTTATAAAATTGGTTCTGTTCATGTCGTCATGGTAGTCCCCTGATTTACTCTGTGATTTAAAAATCAATTGAGCATTAGCAATAAACCCTATTTCTCCACCTGCATTAATAATTATCCACCGCGTTACAACAGAATCACTTATTAGTACTCGTATACGATGCGTGAATGTATGTTTCATCTAAGAAAACTATTGGCCGACCATCTGCTTGATTTTTCCTCATAGTAACGATATACTTGCGTCTCCATGCAACTATGTCGTGCCTTTCCATTAAAATTTTCCGTTTCGAACCACACTTTTTATACTGAAATCCAATTTGTTTTAAAATTTTCCACAAAGTCGTTCGACCTCCACCAAAGTTTATGTCATTCTTTAATTCTACAAGTAATTTATTTAAAGTAGGAACAACTTTTCTTACAGTAGTATACATTTCATGGATTTTGTTTCTTATTGCGCATAAATCGAAATCATCAAGATCCACCGTTTTACGTCTTTGACGGTGTTTTCGAGGAGACTTGAGTTTTTGAGATGTAGAGGCAGCAGCTTCACCTTCTTTAAATATTCTACTCACGGTTTTCTCCGACATGCCTGAAATAGACACCAAATTTGTATCATTTTATAAAATTAAATATTTATAAAATACAAATACAGACATTATCATAAAAAAATAAATTAACTGAGATACGTACTTTTTTATTTTAATTCGTAATGTTAGTAATTTCTTATTATTACCCATACTAAAGGCATTTTGCATGAAGCTGGCATCCCTATTTTACTAACCTGTCATGGCGGCGACGCGAGTTCGCACTTGATTGAGTGGAATTAACGGGGCTTGGTTTGCCTTTTCTCTCTCACAAAAGGCACGCACCTTCCACACAACCTCTCTTGCACTGCTTCTAAATGGTTTCGGCCTAATTAATTTGGAATATTTTAAATAATAACACAATAAAAACCGGCCAAGAGCGTGTCGGGCCACGCTCAGTGTAGGGTTCCGTAGTTTCCCGTTTGTCACAATAAGTGTTCCCACTTATGAGTTTAAAGGTGAAATGTTCGCGCTCCAGCAGCGCTCCGCGCTCCTGCAACTGCATCCAAGTTCAAAATTATTTTCCTAGAAAGTCCTTATAAAGTTCTATTTTCAGATTTTTTTCATATTTTCTAAACTTATGGTTCAAAAGTTAGAGGGGGGGGTACACATTGTTTTTTACTTTTGGAACGATTATTTCCGAAATTATTGACATTATCAAAAAATGATTGTAGTAAATCCCCTATTCATTTTTAAATACCTTTTTAACAATATGTCACACGTTAGGGTTGAAATTAAAAAAAAAAATCACTTCCCACTTTACATGTAGGGGGGCCACCCTAATAAAACATTTTTATCCAAGTATTTTACCACTTTGTCGGCGTGATTGATATTCATATTGGTACCAAATTTCAGCTTTCTAGTGCTAACGGTCACAGAGATTAAGCGAGGACGGACAGACGGACAGATAGACATGGCGAAACTATAAGGGTTCCTAGTTGACTACGGAACCCTAAAAACGAGCGTTATAATCACAAACTGACAACAGATTGACAAGCAATAGTGCCAACATCATAGCAGGGGACATCTTACGGTGAACGGACTATAGTTAAATGTACACAAACTCGTAAAGAACGACAGTTTTCCTGCTCAAAAACTAGCAAAAACTGCTGTGTACTGTTTTTTTCGCCGCTTCTTAATGGATTAAAGAAATAAAAAATAAGTTACGTGTGTAATCTGTACTTTTTACGAATCTACTTTCAGATTCAAAAAAAGATCGATTTTTGAGAAATCTATCCTTTAGACTTCGATTTTTTTGGTAATCGATTCGAATCGATTTAAAAATCGATCTTCTTCGGAAAGAATCTGTTATTTTGTTCTATATAATATCTGTTATTCGGTTTACGGGCTCTGACCACAGGCCGCGCCAGAATGCTACAGTGTCGGCCTGATTCGGTGCTGGGCCCGTTCCACTTACCATTGCTCGCTCCAATGATTCATAGAGCCTCTTCTGATCACTCTGGATGAGACGATTCTGGTTGAACCGTGTCGACCTCTCGGTATATCGCCGAATTCGCTTTCCCCAAGCAGCGATTCTCTGCTTCAGATCATCTATGCTCTCCGTCAGTTTTTGTGTTCCGGCTGGGACAAACTGACATTTGTCCCAGCAAACGCCATCCTAACGGTGCGCACAATTCTTGGCCTGTTATTGCCTGATCTGAAGCATATCAGTCTGCCTATGAGATCTCTAGCCTTTGCGATACGGTCTTCAATTCATCTTCTCCATGCTGGGATAGCGCTATTTTGACCAGTAGTGCATCCAGCAGTGGAAACCTTGGCGCCTATAATACGGCAGACTGCCAGCGCGGCGTCAAAAAGAATTGAGTCCGTCTTGCAAAGGTCCCGGCTGGATTCCAAGTAGGTCACCAGCATTGGGTTCAGAGTCCTTACGACAGCCCGATTCCGCTTGCTTAGGGCTATGCGGGGAAGTCGTGGTCGATTTTCGAGAGGCGTACTGCGTGTTTCCACAATCGCCTCTTCCAATGTACTCCTCATTTGCTCTATTTCTCGTTCCTGGGCAAATGTTCCATCATCATTTTAATCAGCCACTACTGGGATATTCACAGCGGCATCCACGTGTGCGGGTTGTTCTGCAACGTGTGGTTCGCATCCTCAGCCGTAGTATTTTCATCTGATGAGGGAACAGCCTTACGTCGTAGCCGTTCGAGTTCGGCGCCATCGAATTGATTATTTGAGCGCAAGATATACCAGACTCAGTCTGCCAGGTTTTGCTCGGTGACGATAATAGATGGCCATATACGCGAAACCTTCAACTTCTCCCCCTTTCGCCCTAAAATACGCCTGCAATGCGTTGCTGTTCATCTGGGTTGTCCAACGCATGCGGCGTACTCCACTAGTGGCGGGTGCCGATTGCTGGGCCTACGAAGACTCACTCTGTCGACACCAAGCATGCTGGTGGGGATGATGGATGCGAGGGGCTGCTGGGTGGTCGTGAAGGACCTCGCGCTCGGGTGGCGGTTCGCATGCTGTCGCGTCCAGCGCCAGCTCCATACGCGCCCTGGCGACTTCCAGGCAGCGGCCTTTTGAGCATTCTTCTGTGTTCCATCATATGCGGCGACGGAGCGCCCAGACCCGGTGCCGTTTTATGGTGAGGCCATATGCACAAGCGGGCCTTTGCCTTCAATTTTTGCCGAGGCACTGCGCTCACAATTCTTGGCAAGGTGCTG